GCGTATGCTTGTATATCGTGTATATTTATATTTAAATTTACTCTGTAATACCTACAACGCATACTAACAATATATCAAAGTCTTTTATTACACTGTTAATATGAATTTTTGACAAAATACTGAATATTTCTCCTTCTTTTCTCACCCCCTTTTCACCCTCTCTTTGTCGCTTCCCCCATTTCTTCTACTTTTTCTTATGTTTATTTTCACACCGTTATGTTCATTCTTTATCTCTATCTCGCATGTGCGAATAATTCGATAGCATTAAAGAACACTCAAAAGTGTAAACTTCTTCACGTGCGCTTATTCAAGAACCCTGATCAATTCGAGATTATTAAGAAAATTTCGCTGATGAACAGTTCGTTTTGCCGTCAGTCGGGGGAGTCGAACAGCTCGATTTTCAAATGTTCGATTCGAACATGTGTCGACATAACCACAATTGGAATTCACGACGGCGACACTTTTATATTTTACATTAGTAATCACACACTATGTCGGAAAGAAGTTACTCAGAGATGAAGGTTAAACACCGCATTTAATTGCATAACATTCGTAAACGCATCTGACCTCGTTCAACATTTCTGGCCAGATTATTCGATTTATATAAAAACGGTATAAAATTCGTACTGTAAATCGAGCTTACGAGATAATTCAGAATCGATTGAATGGAAGAAATATTTAATTGGATGTTAAAGACATAAGTAGATGTAAAGTTCTGTTGACTAAAGTAATGGTAATGGTACGTTAGAACACTACATTATCGATAGTCGTTTGCGAGAAACGCGAGCTCTGAAAAACATTAGAATTCAGCTCCCTAGGACGAATAACTGTCCCACCTCTAAATTGTTAAACTTGAAAGAAACACACAGTCGTTCATAACAATTTTTGCGTAACAAAAGTTTGCGGTACGATAAGATATAATTCGAAAGAACATTTAATGATTCGGCGATCATTCACGTCATAAATATAAACGATTCGATTATTTATAAAAGAAGAAAAAATGAAGCACAAAATACTACAAGTAAAATAAATTGAAATAATATTCGTAGATGTACAATCATTTATGTACTACTCAGGTGTATAACAACCTCGAATTATTTCGACGCGCAACATTTTCAATTTACGTTGCAATTACATATATGGCACGTATTACATAATATAAACTTTGCACACTTCGTTCTTTTTTTCCTTCCTTTCCTATTCTCAGTCTTCTGAACACGTATCCTTATAAAACACAACGAAACGTTCGAAAATTCTATTCTCGTTACGTTTCATTGATCCCACTCTTTAAATACTCAGCCCTCTGTCGGTAACTTGTCTATAATGTAGGGTGATCATATCTCTTTGTTTTAATAAGTATGCTCTCTCTCTAGATTATATGATAGCGTTATCACTGTAATACATAATAAATATAAGATATTATATAAACATCTTAAATATCTTATATAAACATAAGATATTCCTTAAAAATATGGATTGAAAAGACCTTCTTGAGAAATTAGTACAAAATTAAATAGAAGCTAAATACAAGAAATTAATCTTAATGTAAAATTAATATAGAATTAATATTAATATAAAATTAAGACGTAGTATTAATATATTGGTATATAAAATATATATAATATTGTCACTTAAAAAGAAAGTTAGATTAATAGTTAATAATGGTACTCTATGATTTATTTTCAATGCAAATTTTCTTATGAAAAACTGGTACTTTGGTTGTGATAGAGTTTCTTTCTATACATAAAATTCTAATGTGTTTAAAGAATATGAAAAAGAGTCTTCCATATATTCATCCTGAATTATATATTTTCATTAAATTTTTATTTTCATTAATTTATTACTTAATGTTTCTTACGATTCTTTTTATTTAAAATAACGATACGATCACCTTACCATATAACGTTTTCTAAGTTAAACGATTTAGGCTAAATAAAATACGTAAATAGCGGGTAACTATTCCATTCAAGAAAAAAGAATTGTTTCCTCCCATTAAAGACGGTTAAAGCTTTGAAAATGAGCAACGATCGAACATACAGAATGAGTCTAATGTAACCAACAGACACGTACATTATATCACCTCAAAAATGTTCAAATTTATGTCTTGTTTTTAAATTCTATCCACGATTACATAACATCGTTATAATAACACCGCATTTATCTAAATCTGTACATGGAAATTTTCGCGTCGTTTATATCCAACAATAAATAATTAAGCTGCGGAAAAACACCTCGAGTTATCTCGCATGTGCGAATAATTCGATAGCATTAAAGAACACTCAAAAGTGTAAACTTCTTCACGTGCGCTTATTCAAGAACCCTGATCAATTCGAGATTATTAAGAAAATTTCGCTGATGAACAGTTCGTTTTGCCGTCAGTCGGGGGAGTCGAACAGCTCGATTTTCAAATGTTCGATTCGAACATGTGTCGACATAACCACAATTGGAATTCACGACGGCGACACTTTTATATTTTACATTAGTAATCACACACTATGTCGGAAAGAAGTTACTCAGAGATGAAGGTTAAACACCGCATTTAATTGCATAACATTCGTAAACGCATCTGACCTCGTTCAACATTTCTGGCCAGATTATTCGATTTATATAAAAACGGTATAAAATTCGTACTGTAAATCGAGCTTACGAGATAATTCAGAATCGATTGAATGGAAGAAATATTTAATTGGATGTTAAAGACATAAGTAGATGTAAAGTTCTGTTGACTAAAGTAATGGTAATGGTACGTTAGAACACTACATTATCGATAGTCGTTTGCGAGAAACGCGAGCTCTGAAAAACATTAGAATTCAGCTCCCTAGGACGAATAACTGTCCCACCTCTAAATTGTTAAACTTGAAAGAAACACACAGTCGTTCATAACAATTTTTGCGTAACAAAAGTTTGCGGTACGATAAGATATAATTCGAAAGAACATTTAATGATTCGGCGATCATTCACGTCATAAATATAAACGATTCGATTATTTATAAAAGAAGAAAAAATGAAGCACAAAATACTACAAGTAAAATAAATTGAAATAATATTCGTAGATGTACAATCATTTATGTACTACTCAGGTGTATAACAACCTCGAATTATTTCGACGCGCAACATTTTCAATTTACGTTGCAATTACATATATGGCACGTATTACATAATATAAACTTTGCACACTTCGTTCTTTTTTTCCTTCCTTTCCTATTCTCAGTCTTCTGAACACGTATCCTTATAAAACACAACGAAACGTTCGAAAATTCTATTCTCGTTACGTTTCATTGATCCCACTCTTTAAATACTCAGCCCTCTGTCGGTAACTTGTCTATAATGTAGGGTGATCATATCTCTTTGTTTTAATAAGTATGCTCTCTCTCTAGATTATATGATAGCGTTATCACTGTAATACATAATAAATATAAGATATTATATAAACATCTTAAATATCTTATATAAACATAAGATATTCCTTAAAAATATGGATTGAAAAGACCTTCTTGAGAAATTAGTACAAAATTAAATAGAAGCTAAATACAAGAAATTAATCTTAATGTAAAATTAATATAGAATTAATATTAATATAAAATTAAGACGTAGTATTAATATATTGGTATATAAAATATATATAATATTGTCACTTAAAAAGAAAGTTAGATTAATAGTTAATAATGGTACTCTATGATTTATTTTCAATGCAAATTTTCTTATGAAAAACTGGTACTTTGGTTGTGATAGAGTTTCTTTCTATACATAAAATTCTAATGTGTTTAAAGAATATGAAAAAGAGTCTTCCATATATTCATCCTGAATTATATATTTTCATTAAATTTTTATTTTCATTAATTTATTACTTAATGTTTCTTACGATTCTTTTTATTTAAAATAACGATACGATCACCTTACCATATAACGTTTTCTAAGTTAAACGATTTAGGCTAAATAAAATACGTAAATAGCGGGTAACTATTCCATTCAAGAAAAAAGAATTGTTTCCTCCCATTAAAGACGGTTAAAGCTTTGAAAATGAGCAACGATCGAACATACAGAATGAGTCTAATGTAACCAACAGACACGTACATTATATCACCTCAAAAATGTTCAAATTTATGTCTTGTTTTTAAATTCTATCCACGATTACATAACATCGTTATAATAACACCGCATTTATCTAAATCTGTACATGGAAATTTTCGCGTCGTTTATATCCAACAATAAATAATTAAGCTGCGGAAAAACACCTCGAGACGTCTTAAATTTCGACGCACGCTTAATATATGTATATATATTTATATATATATCTATATATATCATCGTCATAGTTCTATCGCATTTCTACGAATTACATTCTGCGAAAACGTAATACTGAACCAAAAACAATTGAAAATTCGCCGTCTTGATTGTACTTCGTGGCATCGCAAACGACAACGCGTTACACTTACGAACTAAATCGAAGTGTGCAATGGAAACACATTTTCATATTATTACCGATTGAATCGTTGAATCACGGCAGGAAATTTTGCAGTCCCTCGAGATCTTCTTTCTTTACGTGTGTATGCTTCATTTTTCTTTTACGGACGGCTGATCTCTTCAATAATTAGGACCATTACTGCCGATCGCTGCACCATCGGTTGTTTTACCCGCAAAACAGAAAAATCGTTCCTATTCGAGATACCGAAACCACGATGACTCGATAAGATATTCAAGAGATCGTGATCGTTTCTTTCCGATTTACCATAATAACTCTATCACAAATCATTCGAAAAGCATATATAATATATTCGTTCTATACTTCACGCAAACATTTGTGTGTTTTTTTTAAATTACTTTCATAGTTCATCATTTAATGAGAACCTTCTGTAACATACGTACGAGAAAGTTTAACGATAACACATCGTACACGTCGTTCGATAGGAGGAACCGTCATGCGACAGTTTCCTCGATTTTTCTTTTTACTTTTTCTTCTTCTATTAAGGAGTTTAACTTCTTTTTGTGATTAACGGGTGCATCGGGAAACGTGTACAAGAGCGAAACGTTGCTTCGATCGGAATCGAACATCTTAGAATCATGTTGTTGGTGTATTTGAAACTGGTGGCGTGTCGGTACGCCATATTGAGCTACCCGATTGGCTGATCGTGGTAATCTGTAAACAAAATTGTCCGAATTAAAATAAGTTTCCTAAATAGTAATTTAAATGATATAATTTAATATCATATAATATAATTATTGGATCGCATTAGAAAAGCATTAAAATTTTTATCCAATATTGCTCTTTTAAACTTAAATTACAACATTTAAAATAACCTAATAAATGATAGGATTTCCTTTTCATTAATTTTCTAAACTATTTAACATTTATTTTTTGTTCTCGATGCAATCGTATAGTTGTTTAATTTAAATTTCAAGTAGTTCAAACAGATCGTTAAAGAGTTACAACTGGTATTACAGCGAACAATTCATTTTCAGAAACAAGTGGTGCGGCAGGTCTATTAATTGTCACCTTATTGTCATGTCCGATTAATGGAGTTTCTGCCGTGGTTTCGTCGTTGCTACGACTCATGTACGGATGTGGGGGCGGCACATAAATCGGCTTAGAATGACTGGCGACTTGCGCGTAAATCGTCGGTTCCTGGATTGGTTGCCTACGCGTCAGAGTCGACATGGCCAGCAGTGGAGGCCGTTGAATATTGGATACCTGTACTGGCTGATAACAATTAGGAGGTATTCGTCGGTTACCTCGGAGCGACAGCTCGGCGTACGTTAACTCTGATCCCTGCAAAACCAGAGGAATAACTCGTTACCGATTATGCAAATTATTTAGTGATTTAATAAGGTATAGAGAGGCCTTCATCTTTCGTTACATTCTCTGATTCTCTGATATTCCCATTTATAATACATAGATAGAATTTTACAAGGAGATTTTAGGACTTGGAACTTTTTCCTTTTTATTTGGAACGTATTAAATACGAAAGTAATGAGAATGTCGAAAAATGCAGACGTTATTTCAACTAATGCAGTTTGTACTTACATTGCCCGTGTTGGTAAAAGTACTTGCATCTGTACGTTGTTGGTGTAATACGTAGCGGGGTGAAGTGCCTTTGCATAACTCGGCATAAGAATTCTCTGCGGGAAAATATATAGTTCAAAATGATTGTTAATGCACTGAGGTTAACATCTCTTTGCTGCACTGACAAAGTAATTGTTATAATTAGAATTTGACGAAACCTGGAATTAGAATGTTGAAATTGCAGAAGCATATTTAAAATTAAGAAATTACATTTAAGGTATCGTTGAATTAATATTATATACGATATACAATTTAAAATTATTTTTGAAAAACGCTTTTCCATTATATCATTATATGGACCACTGTAATGGACCGTAATGGTAAATTTAATTTTTCTAATCCTCTTACTGTTAGTTTCCTGTAAATTGACAAAGCTACCGATAAATTGCAAAAGTATCGAAGCAGGAAGAAAAGAAAGCATAACCACTTTAAAATGGCCATATCTTTGTACGTAACGAGCTAATTGCCGCTATTTCTTTTACCTCTGACATCAGTTACCGTAAAATGCGCTATATCGATTCTTCTGTAACAATAAAGTTTATCCGAGAAGTTCTATTAACGAATTTATCACAAATTGACCAATTTTCTTTGTTCCTCGTTAAATGCCTCCTTCTCGGTGAAGGTTATATATCCACTCCATCTTTTTAGATATTATTTGAAGTTACATAAAAGTATCATTAATTAGCATTTATATTAGTTTACAATGTTGTTACAAAATCGGTCATTTTAATAAATTCATTAAACTCTATGATTATAAAGATTAAAAAAAAAAAAAAACAGATTTAAAGAAAAAATTTCAAGAAAAATATTACGATACGATAATACCATTGTCCTCCTGCACGATCATAGTAACTCTACCAAGTGAAGAATTAGGTGCTTCCAACTATACCAACGTCCTAACTAATAACCACGCATGGGTTGGCTAACATACCGAAAGCTCATTAAATTACCCACCATTAGCGTGAGGAATTATATCAGGGTCCTTCTCGAAGCTCTCGATGCTCTCGGAGTTGAGAGGCAGGGTCGACGATTTATCACGTGGAGAGGAACTGCCGGTTCCGGACGCAGCCAGGTTTGCCATGCCGCCGTCGTCGTGAGAGTCCTTGTCCTCCTGAGGCCTCGGTCGATACCGTAATCTCACCGCCAGGACTATCACGAAGATCACCAGTAGGAGGCCCGCCGTTGCTCCGACTACAGCGCCGAGTAGTGGTCCAGACAGCGACAGCATCACCGGTGTCAGTGCTGGAAATCACGGTAAGTATCACGAGTCTTTCTCTCTCTTCCCCTTTTTCTTGGGATTTCATTGTTCGAGGGACGAGAGGATTGCTTTTCGGGATACTCAGAAACGTCTTCTCTCGATTACACCGTACAATCGTTAAAAATGAAATTCGCGACTTTTGCCGTGGATACGATTTTTGGATTTTTAGGTTCATTCGCGGAATGTACAATTGTTATCATGACAGTGATCAAACCTGATTCACGATGCACTAAACTGACTTAAAAGCTCGAATTTTCAGAATTTATATCAGGAACGTACTGAGATTCTTGTTTGTATATTGGAAGAATAGTCATTTTAATACCTATGATTATTGCGCAATAAATTACTGGTACATTCCAAATTTGATTTGGTTTTCAGGCGTACACGAAATGTTTTAACCGTGGTTGGGTTGGAAGGTTCAAGTGAATCGGAGAGAAAATTAACGAAGTAGTGATTTGTTAGAAGACTGATCATTTGGGTAATAAGAAATGTATTGAATAGGTTGAATGAATTTGGGATAGTGGAGTAAGATTGAGTCCAGTCAAATGAACAGAGTAAGATCGTTACTCATTAAACAAGTAGGTGGACCACCTAGGTTCGATAAAGAGCCAGATGTGGTTAAACAAGTAGTACGAGTACAATATAGTCAGACGCATTGTAAAATCGACTATAGAATTGCGCATAAGGAATGAGAACAAGAGCTAGATGTTACGATTCTTCGAATTTTGGGGATTTCTTGTATATACCTTTTTGGTCGAAACTATTGCATTATCTTTTGCATGTAGCGAAGTACTCTAGATGAACGATCAGTTCCCTTTGCTGCTCATTATTTTGATATCAGTATTATCACAGCATATCGCAGTACTGAACAACTTCGATAAACTGGTGGTCTTTATTTTTGAAATAAAAGCTACTTATACACGAAAAGTAAAAAATTGTGTGAAAAATTCTCAACTCTAATTACTAATCGGTGAATTTTTAAGCTCTATTGAAAGGTGACCAATATGTTAAAAATTGGGTAATATTCCATCATATTTTTTCGCGACGCAGAAGTTTAAGCTCTCGCATTGCTATGTGACACAATTAAGAATGTTGATATAAGAAATTCAAACAATGCTTTGGCGCGATCGTGATTCATTTGCTCGCGTAATTTCGACCTGCAATTTGATTTACGTTCTCCCTTCTCGTTCCAACTAATAATGGATTAATATCTCGATAATAAACGAGCACTGGGCTGATTAACCATGGTCCAATGCGTTTCGTATTTAGCCATCGACAATTATGTAAATGAAATATCATCGCGGCGTTGATCTCCGTTTCTGGCCGCGACAACATTAATGGACGCCCCAAATAAGGAAACACACTGAAGCAAGCTCACTGTCCTCTTTATTTTACAGATTATTCACAGCGGGGATATTTTTCGATTCATTACATGCTCGATTATCGCACATTTAAAAAGTTCGTCGATATTTCCTCATATATTACGATTGCATTGTTTCATCCCTCGTAATGGCGAATTACACTTATATTTCCTCGTTTAAAAACCAGAACGTAACGAATGTTGCGAAATTTTTCTACCAGGGAAGTTATTTCATAGCATATGACAAGTAGTTCGTTCGAAAAAATAGTATTTTTGAGTAGACGTTTAAATAGAAAATTTTAAAAGTTGAAAAAGCACATCCATCGACAACGAAGAAAGAAAAAAGGTATAAAAAGAAATGATCGATCTAAATTTTCATATAAAACGATACTCCAACCTCCTTCAGTTACATTGAAGTACCAATGCAAATTTCTTTAGTTCGACAATCGATCAGTGCCAATAATGCATGTTTTTAAAATTATTTCAGTACCTTGACCAACGTCGTACAACATCGTGATGATCGTTATGAATGGCAGTGAAAAGAAGCTGTGCGTCATCTAGGCATATTTCACACTACGTTCGAGTTACCGTAGCAAGAATTCACCATTCGCATGCAATGATAAGGTGTCTACAGAGGGACAGGTGAAACATAGATCTACGATCAGAAGCGAAAGCACGCCACGTTGCAAGCAGAAAGTATCTCGTGATGTGTGTTCCTTCCGGACACGTGTTTCTCTACTGTTCTCTCCACGAGTCACCGTGTGCTCTACCTTCTTTCATTTCATGTTCATTGTTCCACGAATTAACCTTTCCGCTCTGTTCGTGAGGAAATCACGAGTTTTATTTACCGGAAAATTGTTACTTTAAGGGAATGGCATTTTATGTGAGCATTTTTCTACCTGACAGTGCAATAATTGAAAGAATAATTTACGCTCGTTGCTAGTGATTCGTAGTATTCATATTTTTCGTTTAATTTAATCGAGGAATATATCATACTTCTCGATGGTTCGGGAGGGTGAATAAAATATCAGGGATAAAGGAAGATGCTTATTATTATCATGCACTGTTGAACCAGTACATCAAGCTATCTGACGTTTGTTAAAAATCATTTAAAATTATATAGTAACATCGCAATAGGAATTTTAAGTTGACATCAAGAAACAAAGTACTACGCTTTACGTTTCTCGTTAATTGCATACTAAATAAGTATACTTGTGTATTTATCGTAGGCAACAATTTGACAGAGCATCGTGTAGAATATAGGGTAATTTCGACAGTGCACTTAATGTAGTACGACGAACTTTCTAAAGCTCGTTTTCAACTTTGAGTAATCTCGAATAAATTAATATCATCATTTAAAACTCGATAAAAGGAACTACGCGATAATTCCAGCGAATAAGAACAGAAGACAGAACCTTTCTGTAGTATCTCCGGCCAGAGAAAAATGCACACACAAAGTAATCCTACCCCCTCTCAATAGAAAAACTCGTCTGTTTCCGCGTGGAAATCATTTTCCCTCGAACAACAACAACAATTTCAGAGACAATAGGGCGGAAAGACGAAAATGGACCATTCAGTGTACCGTTGCCTCGACAAATGAATGAACGAAGCGCGTCAAATAAATGATGACGTTCTAAAAGCGTGGACAGATTTTCAGCGAGTACCCGGAGCACGACGAGAGAAAGAGACTGATATTATAGAACGAAAGAAAGGGACAGAGATCGTGACACGCTCGTAAAAGGTGGCTCGTAAAAATGTACGCTTCCGGGGACGCGATCGTAAAGGCACTTCCGCTTCAATCCTTCCCGTCGTTGGCACTTTTTGAAACTTTTCAAACGATAAGTCGACCACCGTCGTGCGAAATACGACCGATATTCCGACTAAATTTTCTTTCTTTCGCTTCTTTCTTTTGTTTCCCCTTCTCCTCTTCCCAATTTTTCTATTTTTTTTTTTCTTCGCTTCCTTTCCTGCTTTTTTCAGGTGAAGAGAGAACATTGTGCCTGGCACGCACTTCAGCTTCGTTTCCCGCACTACGCGATACATGGAGGGATAGCGACGTTAATCGTGGCCGATTGGAAACGTCGATTTCGTTTCGATGCCAACTGTCTCGCGTGGATTAACCGAACCGGCTAATTTCGGATTAATCGATTATATCTCTGCGTCGGTGTAACGCCACCACGTCGGTTCGTGTTCGTGTCTATGCCACGCGGCCTGCTCTCAGTTGATCGAGTTGATCCATGTAAGTGGACGTTCGACCGCCAATTAGCCGATTCAGTTTATTCCCGGACGATCGTCGGTGGTCGTGTTAACGTTCCAAATGGTTCCCGAAAGATAGACCGAATGGAGCCATTTTTCTTTTCGCTTTTTCGTGGCTGGCTAACAAAATTTTAACCCCTGACGTTTTATAATCTCTCTGATAATAATATCTATTAAATTTAGTCACCATGTAAATACCGTGAAATATGTATACTCGATTTAATAAAATACGGCAATTTTTAGAACACTTCTCAAGCTTCCTAAATCTACAATTTTTCCACGAGTTTTCCGATGTTTTTGTTAGGAGTGGAACAGACATCTTGTTTTTACTCTTTACTACCCTTCTGTCGTCATAAGATCGTATTCCGGGTTTCCGATTTAAGTTTACGGGATCGTATCATTAATTTCTCGTCGTTATTTCCGCGACACTGGCAGCTTAGAAAGAAATATCCAATTTACGATCAAAGCGAGGCGAAGAGGTTTTCCGCGTTAAAACGCGATTATCCCGGAGGTGGACGGCATGTTTGCAGAGATCGTGAATTATCGTTACGCCAGCAATGAATCTGGGATTCAGATGCACTGTCCAGAACTACGCTTGGCACTCAAGTTCGAGATTAATCAAAATCCACTTAAATTCACGAACTCCTCTAAACGAGTAGCCCTCTTGTTCTGCACCCGCGATTCTAAGTTGATATTAAACGCAGGAGGCCGTTGTCGGGATTCAACACGGACGAGGCTTGACGTTCCGTGCTATTCCCAAGACGGAAAGCAGTTAATTCGAAAGCAATTTTATATTCCTCTAGCTGAGTTCTGTTTCGTTGGCATTACTTTTAATTCGCGATAATTTGCGAGCACCGGCAACTGCTGCCGTGACGAGGGATCGTATTAAAGTACAGATTCATTTGCATACCTTCTTATAAAATTAACATCGGCGAAATGATTAAAATAAGTAAATTCTCTTACGTATAAAAATACGATATCATATTTGACGAGGCAAATCGACCTGATTTTTTGTATATTCGTTGAAAAGAGATTTTATCGTTATTGGCTCGAACGACAGGAAAATTAACCGCAATTTAGCACATTTGCATTCAGGCGATACCCTTGCTTTGCGTTAAAAGCGGTCCTTTTTCGTTGTTAAATCATCGGCAGAATACCCGAACGAGACCTGTAAGAAGCTTTTTACTTCGATACCTCTATCGGGAAGATAAATATGTTAAAATATCGTTCATCGCTACCATCAACGTGGAAGCTACCAAAGCTAGCAAAGAATTCAATCCAACGAACAGAAGCTATTCGAGAAACTGCTCGACACTGAGGGCGTTAAATTCCATCCACTATATCGAAATAACCAAAACAATACTCCAATCGCTTATCAATCTAATCGAGCGTGAGACTTATGGAACTCGCGTCACCACGAGTCTGCACACAATTCTCTCTAGAACCGCGCTTATTGAGCTTCCGTTCCTCTTTCTCGTTCTCTCTCTGTCTCTCCGTCTGGTCACCCCATACGCGCATCTTCGTCTCTTTCCTCGGGTCTGAGGATGCGGAGGATCGCGTTCAGCCGCAGACCAATTTCGGTTGAACGCCCTCAGGCTGGTTCGCACGTACAAGCGGTAGTCTTAGTGGTGTCCCTTGGAACCCAGAGTTCCCCGACTTCTCTCGTATGTACGTACCAACCGTTTACAGGATGTATACGCGGGGACCTTTCGCCACGAATTCGCGGAGAGGCCGTCCATTTGCATATTCGCGGCCGCGCGCAGAGCGTGGTTAGCTGAAAGACGTTTTGTAATCAGGTTCCGTGGTCCGTTTATGGTACACTTTAACGGTTAACGCGGCTACGGCCGTTTAATAACCGGCGACACGTCACGCGACGTGGACTAATGCTCGTCTATAAATTTAATCAGCGCCGTGATGTCGAACACCCGGATGATCGTTTAGTCGTCGTGATAAAATCGAAAGTGAAGACTGAGTGATCAAAGCTTTGGGAGACTGGGCTATAAATTCAATCGGCGTAACTTCGATGATCGTTTAGTCGAGATAAAATCCTAGAAATAGGAGGCGAAGATGAATTGGTCGAGCTTGGTGTCTTTGATGGGCTTCTGAATGGGGTTGGTTGTGGATAGATGGGTTTTCGTGGAGTCTTCCGAGGTTAAAGCTTTTACAGAATGATCGGATAATCGTTTTAATTAAGGCGTGTGTTTATTGGATTGGAAAAATTAATTTCCTTTATTATTGATTTCTACCAATTCTAAACTCTGTCATGTCATAGAGTATTGTAAAAATACTGAGCAGATTATCTATCATCTATTGATCCATTCCGTGATTTTCCAACTTTAAAATTCTAATCCACAAAAATATTTATTAATTTGAGATAATTTAATTTCGTCTCTTTTATTGTTTCTGAGAATGATTCTCAATCACTCATGGGTCTCAAAGATATGCCCTAACCTTGATGTATCTTCTTGCATTTTCTCATTGATATTAAACAGTAAAATCAATTACTATTTACCAATTTTATCAATTTTTTAGCAAAGTTCATTACCAGCTTATGAAATTAGTACACACCGTTTCCTGTCATCAACTTAAATACTTCAGTGACATTTGCATATCGTTATGAACGAGCTATTCAAGAGACCGAATATTTATGAAGCACGGCAATTCTGAATTTGCATTTAGGATTACTCTAAATCTTGCAAAAAATTCACCTATCCATCTACCGAAATATGATATATTTCCTTACGTGACGCTTTCGCAATTGTTTACTTGTAAAACTTTCGGGTGTACGAACAAAGCTTCTGCGTTGTTGAAGAGTTAAACGATATATCTTCGATCTTGCACGAAGAACGTAACAATGCTATCGCGATGCTAAATCATTTTATTGTCCGTTCCAATAAAATCCATCTCCTACGCTCGTACTGAAGTCGAATAACACAATACCGATCTAAATCGACGTACAACTGGTAGATTAATCTCGGATCATGTTCTCGTCCACCGACTGGTCACGATAAGGTGACCTAATGGTTTAACAGCAAAATTGAATTCCACTCGCCGACCGGTCGATCGGTCGAGATTAGTTTTAAATCGCGCTACATCACCGATTCTCAGCCAGCTTTGACTGGAGACGAGGAACCGACGATTTCGACGGGTTTTACACGATGTCGATTCGTGTTTACGCTGCATCGAGTTCGGTTAATTCTGGCATAGGTGAACGTTAATTTTGGATCAGATTTTCAGTCGGATTTACCGGGATGATCCAATGATTTAGTGATTAAAACGGCAGGTTGCCCGATCTCTGCATGATCCCAGATTAAGTCTGGATTATGTTGGGTAATCGTGAATTCTGGATTAGCTATCGGGCTACATTTGATAGCATAATTTGATACTATGACGCACCTCTGCTGGCCAATTCAATGTCGCCAATTTAACTGACAGCGGCACGATAATGTGAATTTCTATCTGCCCTAACTATCTTTGCTACCGTTTTGTCCATTCGATCTTACGACCCTTCTCAAGAGTTCGGGCTGAGAAGAGAATGAACCGTGGTGACTCGAACAGAGACTGAACACGTGTCAGGCAAAGACAGACCTCGAATCAGAGTTTCGATGAGAGTTTTGGAGGCATTTTTATGATACACGAAAGATCGGATGATGTTTAGACGCGATTGATACCGCGGTGAAAAGTTCAGGTGTTCGAACGGGAATTGTTCATGAACACGAAGATCTCTTGGTCACATGTCGAAACAGGATCGATAGAATGCACTGCGATATCGATGACTTGCAACTGTGAAACCAGAAGGCTAACTAGTTCGAACGCAATTCTGATCGGATTTCAATTTGCGAACAGTTCGGAAGGGCGGGCTGCTAACTCGAACTTCAACATTTAGTTCGGCAGTCGGGTACCACCGAATCTGACTCGATGCTTCTGATGGAAGTTAACTCTATCGGGAGTCAACTGGTTCGTAATACCAAAAAAATATCAGGTTCCTCGTTAACCCTACAAATAGAACATTAAATGCCCGAAATTAGCGCGAAAACGAACTACGTCTCATGATCATGGTGCAAGCTCTGGATGACAGGTGTTGGATGTAGTGAAGGATGATCCACGACTCGAAGATTTTGAAAGATTCTACGAGATATTCAACTTTGCCAATTGCACGAAACAAAATCATTAAAAAATCTCGTCGAATAAGATCCGCAATCTCTAATCTGCAACTAAGAAGATCTTCGACGAAGACCAAACAAAAGTGAAATAAATAAATAAATAAATAAATAAATAAATAAATAAATAAACAAATAAATAAAATAAAAAAGGAGAAAAAGGAAACGGAAATGAAAGAAAAACATAACGATACAAAAGGAAAGGTCGACAGATGAGAAAAGGATGATCTGGACCACGATCGCGTTCTGACCCAGTGTCTGGACAGAATAGGGTGGTCCGCGGATGGCGCACGCTGACTCGAAATCGAACACTAGCTGGCCCCTACCTGGGTATCGTTGATGCTCCTGTGTCTTACCCTCCTGAACAAAGTGCGGGCTGTGAAGAACCGTGGCGTCGCTCATCGCGTGCTCCGTCATGATCCTCAGCGAGAGCACCAGCCCGGAGTAACTCCTCTCCGCTGGCAGATCGGTGATCTCGAGCATGCTAGGCGTCATGCTAGTCGCGGACGCCAATAGACGCCTGGTGTCTGCGTCGAAGACCTGCAGTACATAGGTGGCGGTGCGCGGGTCGATGTACTCGCTCTCGGCGCAGCTCACCCTGACCGTTGTCCGACTCTCTTCCCTGATCGTACAATTCTCCGGGGGCGGAGGTTGCGCCATCCTCTCACCTGCTACCATACCGGGCACAACACACCAGCCTCAGCCTTCTTCTACAGCTACTTCGACGGATTTTTATGGAGTGAGAGGGACAGGAGGGTTTGCTCATGGAGAGTAGAAGAGTGTTCGTTCTTTGCACGGTTTGGGGATGCTACGGTTCGGTTCTACGACATTTTTTCGTCCTTTTCCCGGCACCCCTTAAGGCCAGGAGTTAAGTGGATGTTCAAAGCGAGAACGGGACTAGTTTCTCAACGGCACCGTGTGTTGAAAAGGATCGCTTTTTTCCTTCGTTCGCGAGAAGGGAAGATTTCAGTCCTGTGTTCCTGGTAACGCGTTCCCGTATTCCGTTTGTCCGGCGTTGATGATGTGCTCAACGCTGGCAAACGCTCGTGTCGGAGCAGGTGATTTCGTTTTCTCTCTCTCTGTTTTTTTATTTCGGGAGAAGCGGTGACGAAGGGTTTCTCGGAAGCAATTTTCGCAGCTTTCACGACTGTTTCAGCGCACCTTGCTTCGCCGCGAATGTGCCGTTCAAATCGTACCTGCTTCGCGAGTGCTCGCTCTTCGGTTCGATAATTTTTGACAAACCACCAATCGTGGACGACTCATTATCGTTATTAAGCTCATCTTCCGTGAGCTGCATGGTTTTTCCGATATCCGTAAAAATTCCAACTACCAAATAAACGCAGAGCCTCGCGCGTTACGATCGACCCGACGGAAATTGACTTTGGAAAAGACTCGCAACGGAGATTGCGAGTAGATGACAAAGGGTATATCCAATTTTTAAGCAACAAGCAAGCCCGTCTGTTCCCGGTTTTCGAGCAAGTTCCATCGCGACGAATTTCCAGCCGAAAACCTGCCAGCCCTCCAGTCCACGTTTCTCATTCACCGCGCGAACGTGTTTTAATATAAACGTCAAAGCGTAATCGATATCCGCCATAAGGTTAGACAGGCCGGTATCGATATCGAGCCGTTCGATCCAATCGTTTGCACGTCGCGTAACAAACGCGCCAGACCTCCGTTTCGAGACTAAGTCCGTGCCGGAAGTACGACGTGCTGGCCGTTTTATCGAACGAAATATTCGCTGGCCCGACAGAAGAAGCGTTTACACGCGTGAACGAGCCGGAACTGCTAGACAGAATCTTTTTTTTCCCGCCCATTCTGTCCCTTTTCCACCTTCGTGAAGGTACGAGAATCCGGCAGGGGTGCGAGCCAATAAACTGGCGGACGAGAATCGAGTGACGTTGGCCAACGATATCCACCGTCTCGACGAACAAAGTTCCCAGCGTGTCGGTTACCGGTGATTTATAATTAACGAATTTGAAATTTTTATTAGGTGAATTGAAACATAGTTGGTGCATTTTCGCACCGAGAATAGTCGGTGTGTAAGCTATCTCGAACGTTTACTCTGATACTTTATAGGATTTTCCGATGATAATACGGTGGAGGTGGAATTAAAATTTGCTCTTTACTCGAATAATTATTTGAACTGTTAATGCAAATGCGAAAAAGGAAACAAAGAGAACAACGAAATGCGCGTATCGATTGAAATAAAATGAGATATTTAATCACCGTTCATAATCAAGAAATCCCGCCCATGGGGGAAAATTAATTATCCGAAAGTAACACGGATCTCGGGATAAAGGGGCTGAATGGACAAAAATATATTTCGGGGCATTCGACGTTGATCATGACGTCAGAAACGCTGGGACACGAACGTCGATTAGATTAGAGTATCGAACTGTTTTCCACCGGCGGGGGCTTACGGTTTGCTCGTGATTAGCAAACATTTGCATTTTAAACGCGAGAAAGTCGATAGTGTGCAGTAACATTATCAGCCTGCTCAAATCCGGCAACTGTAGGGGAGGGAAAAAAAAAAGAACCACGTTTGCCAGTTTTATCGAACTGCATAAGGGGTCGGGGCGAATATCATTGACTCGTACTACTTGACACTCTGCCAGCTCATTCATCGACACATACCACTGCACCCGAGACCGAGCCTCGTTCGAGAAAAAACAAAATTATCCGGTTTACAATCTCGTGTTACTTTTATCGAACAGTTGTGCATCGTTTAAACGCCACTTAATCCTATTTTTTTACGGAATCGAAATATCCTCGAACAACCCTCGACAAAATTTTTCCCAACATTTTTACCTTTCACTTCTTTTCCCATACACACTGTTCGAGATATCGATTAACGAGGACTCAAGAATTAATTCGACAAAAGTATATCTAAAAATTTAGAAATTTCAATTTTTCCTCTATTTTCTCTCAGAGAATAAAAATCAAATATTTGTTATTTTAATTAACAGCTATCGGAATAATACGTTTGCTTAATTTTCTCCAAATATCTCAACGATAAAACTAAAGATATACCTCATTCATAATAAACAGGCGAGAATTTCATTTCAAAATTATTCTACGATCTACATAAGTCGGGCAATCTAATTTAATCGATTCTAGCATTAAGCGAAGCAAAGTGAAATTAAACTAAATTAACTCCACCGAGAACTGCTTCCGATCGATGATGAAGAACGCGAAAACTTGGGCGATGCAATCGGGTTTTCCGCTCGTGGTTAATAAAAGACACTTATACAATTAGAACGCGAGCCAACGCCATGGCCAGGACGATATACACCGATTTCCAGTTAGCCAACGGAGAGAATAGGCTGAGTCAACGACAAGAGAGGAGAATGGCCACCGGCCGACCCAGCCCCCAATTAGCCACGCATTATTAACGCGTACTGTACACAGGCTGCGTTTACGGCCTGCCTGGTCCCGCGTTCCACGGTTAATTGTTAGCAATTAGCAGGAAGAATGAGCTCGCAATCTGGCAGAGTCGCCGGGACAAAATTATTTTTCCGGCCTACAAGGGGAATTCCTTTTCTACAATTCGCTTCTCCTGACCCCGTGGAAAAGTGGCAACGAGAGAGTTTGCGAGGCTGGTACTCCCATTTTTCCAACCCTTTCGTCCCGATTCCCGTAATTTCCTTGGTAATTCGCCCGTTCTATTCGTCGTCACGATGCAGCTTTAATCACGCGCGTGACGGCATCTGATTAGCTATGAAATGGGGTAAATATTGCGCACGTTTCCTTCAGTTGTGAAAAGCATGATCTACATACTTTTCGTCTAATTTCTTCTCCCCTTTTCTCACCTCTTTCGATTCTAATTCGAGATCCACGAATTCTCGATTAATTATTTCACGCAAATAACGCGAATTGGTTTATCCTAATCACGGTGTGGTATTTGAGGAGCAAATACGAATCAGAGGTCGGTTTGTGGAAGTCGTAAGGCTGTTCCAGGATTATTCGACGGGCCAAAAAATTTCAGGGAACAATCAACATTCTTGTCAATCCGAAATCGTCATAATCGCGTCTGAATAGAAAGCTGGATTTTGATATAATGTCACTGTACTTCCAGATAGTCGAACTCGAAAGCATACCAGTCTAATTAAATTTGTAGACGAATACCATGAAATTAATTATGATAATCGAGGCATTAATTAAATCCACTGCCGTCAATTAATTATCGCGATAAATCACAACGTCAATTATGACGATTAATTCCATTTCGTCTTTATTAATCCTACGCTAACGAACAATATTACAAGAAAACAGAAGTATAACAAAAATGAAAGAGAATTGAGAAATAAAAAAAACAGAGAAAGAAACAGCGGAGAAAAAATTAATTTGGAAAAAGACATAATCTTTTCCATAGTTTTAGGATCGTATTACCATGGTTTGCGCAGTAACGCAGGTAGATTTTTCGTTCGTGAATCACCACACGACTGACGACGAGACGCGGGCCGTGGAGCACGGAGGACGATAATCGAGTTCGACGGGGACCGGAAGTCCGTCGATTTAGTTCGGCTGGTGGTGATCGAGGGTCGGTACGATCGGTGTCAAGCGCCTAATCGCGCGTCTACGATACCAGAGGCCGAGCAAACGCTGCAGCGTGACGGTGTCACATGGGAAACTGTCGTTTTTCCGCTTGTAAAACGGTTGTTCAATCACGGTAATGGAACTATCTCCATCGCGGCCACTTACGGAGAAATACGCTTTACAATGCGAAACCCCGCCATTTTCCATCGTGTCGTATTCTCCACGTGTACACCGAACGCGAGAGAATAATAAGATTCGACAAACTCGGAAAGGCGGCACACAAATTTCACTTTGTCCACATTTCCAACTCTATGGAGAGTCTTTCCAACGTGAGAGCCGAAGAATCGTGCAAAGAGTACGACGCGAAATCCCAAAATCCCGACGGGTCGTCGATTAACCGTCAGAATCCTCTCGCTGGACAACGTGATCGTTCTCTAAAGAGGAATCGTCTCAGCCGTATTCCCAGATATATAAAGTAGGTCCACGGAAAACTCATCGACACGTGTATTGCAGCGTTCGCTCGTTCCTGCTCCGTGGATCGTAAATAAACGGGTCGAAGCGGGTCTCTCTAACCAGGGAATAGGGTAGCTTCAGGCAGGATCGATGAGAAGGAACAGAGACACCGATGGTGGGATCAGAACGATGGAAAGAGAGAGAGAGAGAAAGAGAGAAAGAGAGAAAGAGAGGCAGACCACGCGAGTATCGTGTTCGTGACAGAGAGATAGAGCCAGAAAGAGGCAGGACGAAGAGCGTGTGGGAGTACTAAGAAGAAATATAGATAATCACGTGAGCTCTACGATGCAAGGCCGTGCAGCGTAGCAGACAGTGCTCGAAGGATATCGCAAGAGATTGTGCCATGTCGATCGCGACGAGCGTGACCGCAGGCATCGTCGATCGATAGATCGATCAATCGGTGAGATAGGCTGTGTTATCTTGGACATATCGGTTCGGTTGAAACTCGACGTCGAAACTCACCTGTTCGCCTCTCGGGCAGGTTAAGCGTGGTGGCACGGAAGTGGACCGTCTCGCTGCGACCTTTGCTGTTGCTGGCGTATATGTGCACGTCGTAGGTGGTACCTGGCTCTAGGTTGCCAACCGAGAACGACGCCACTTTGCTCGTCTGATTGTAGACCGTGGTGCTCGGTTTTGAGGATGTGCTGCTGGTTCCTGCCTCACGGTCTATCTGTATCGTGAACTTCTGCGGCAGACCACCGTCGAACCCCTCCGTGCACTCCACGTACAGCGAATCCGTCGTTTGGTTCAGAAGAGAGCAATTGTGCGGCGTGTCCGGGTGACCTGTGAAGGCGAATAATTAGTATGGTCGCGAGTCGGGAATCGGAAGTTTCGAGAGCTCCTGGTGGTTCGTGGATCGAGCTGTGTTTTGGGGCTAGCGGATAAACGTTTGCGGGATTTCGGGGTGAATGGGAGAGGTATCGTTGGTCGAGGAGATATTACCGAAGCGTTTAGTGGAAGAAATATAGCGAAGTCTCGTTTGTTATATTTTCTAATAAGGTTTCGCGACGACTCCGTGGAAACTCACTCGCTGTATCGAATATTCCTGAATAATAAAACCTAACTTTATTAATATCCGAACGATCTCGATATCTGACCGACTTTCCCACGTTAAACATCCCATATGTAGGTATATTTTAATATCCGATCGATTATGTCGTTTCGTTTCCTCCTTATTTCCCAGAGCTAGATGATAACTTTTTACAAACACATATGTCTGCTAAAAACTATCGTCCTAGAGGTATACACGTCATTAGGCCGAAAATCGACGAGGAACGATATCGCACGTACACACGGACGCTTAAACCCAACCTCTAAATCTGATACCTTTGGCACGACCTATCATGTAATACCCCGACCTACCACACAATGCGATCAATTCCCCGTTGGATAAATCCACTCTCTCCACTTACGGGGTTAAACACGATCTATTCCGCAAGTATGATTCGATCTTAAGCTCGAATCACGTCCAAACATACCGCGTCTTCCACCCTACACACGCTTCTCATCCCTTACACGCTTCTACTTCCTCGACTCTCATTTTTCCGTTCGGCAAGAACGATCGTTTAAAAAGTAACAACTCCGTCGGTTAAAGTCGCAGTAAAGCTATCTCTATTCGATAGAGCTATACGTGTATCCAGGCGGCGGAGCTATCCGGGATAGCTGACCCGTGATTGCGTCGAGGAGGCAAGAGATGAAGCGGCTCGAAGTCGGGGAAACTACAACGACAAACGTCTGCCTCCCCTAGACGAGAACGGAATACTGAGAGGCCAGAGACACCATCTTCCAGTCTCTCCTCGTTCACGTACCGACCAGTGAAACTGGCGTCTCTCAAACGACGGTGTTCGCCATCGTCTTTAATCAACAGATACGAGCTTAGTTAGGTTTTCGTTTCCGGTACAGACCCGAGTTTACCCTGGACTGTCTCGTTTTATGCAACGCCCTCTTTAATAGCGCTTTTTATGACGCCATTCCGACGGTTTAGTGCCTTCCACTAGTACTAAAGCACGTTTGTCACGTAGTGACGCGTCCGTCTACGAGGTCGCCTCGCAGTTTCTGACGGGATGCTCGCACGTCCTCGATACGGCACGATCCACTGAAGTTTTCGCGTGTTTCCAACCCCGAACTTCGCGAAAGTGTGCTCAAGAGACGCAACGCTCGCGTTATTTCGCTGCAGAGACATGCAGCACCGGAAAATACTCGCCAGTCGACGTTTAGAACTCTTTAATGGAGATTGTTTCGTTTGGGAGCTGTTGCGTTTTCTCATCTAGATCGTTGGCTAAATCGCTGCGACTCGATTCCTTTAGATTTATCGAATTTTCTTTCTTTTATAATCCGAATATTTTAGCTTCACGATGAAATTTGGAGATTCACCTTCGTCAAAAGTTATGAAGTAATCATTGACACGTAGAGTGCGGCGTCGATTTTGCTATATCTCCTAAAATATACAAATTAAAATTAAAGATTCGTCCTTTGCCTAATATCTCGTATAAAATCTATTCTTAATTTCAATTTATACACCTCGGAAGCCAGAGAATATTCAAAAATTCGCAAATCGTTAATCATTTTCGAACCATCCTCAACCCATTCAAGCATCTCCATGCACGTCAATAACACGCAGGCTCTGTTCTTTCTTAGCAACAAAGATCCAACGTTCGATAAATAATATCAACAACGGGTAGACAAGGCAAGAAAGCAGCTTGATCGCTCGCTGAGTAGAAGCTGTAAGGGCACAAAGGGATCGAGTAGATCGAATGGACCTCGATCATGATCCGCGACACAGCGACGAGTTTGAATTCGATTCACCTGCGCGACATGTTTCATCGAGAAGACTGAACCCCATAATTTCTTCCATAGAACAGCGAGATCACCGTTTCTGTTACGTTTCGTTAAGCGGTCGTCAAACGCAGAAAGGAGCGAGACACCTCGAAAAGGAAACGGACGTCCGGCTACGACGGCGGTCGTCGTTGTTTCTAATCTGCATAATGAGGAAACTTTTTAAATCTAATTTACGTCTATCAAGCATCCCTCGAGAGACACTTTTCTCCGGATTACTCGTGGCGTTGCACGGCCAGCCCGGTGGCTTGCACGACCCACTTCCCACCCCCTATAAATCTTGGCGATTTATATTTACTAAAATCTTAATTTCCTCCGTTGTGCAGACTGTTACATAATTAAAAACGAAGTTTTTCCATAAAGCAACCCGTGCCGCGCCGTGGCATGGCTGAATCTTCTCGCGGACACTATTTCAACGCGTATTATTTCAGCGCTTTTGCGCGTTGCACTTAAGGTAATGCGAATTCTCCTTGGATTAAAGGATTATCCGAAGACGCGCTTGGACGCTTCCGAAACGCTGGCTGCTCGTTAAAGATGAATGTTTTAATGTCGCGCGAAAGTTACCACCCCACTTCATCGATCTCAACCCCTTTATGCGTTTTAACGTGGGTATTCTTCTAAATTCTCGGCTTCGTTTCTTCGTTCTTCCTTGTACTCCATTTTTCTTTTCCTTTCCGTTGGCGTTAGAGAGGAGTCTCTCTTGGGAGTCTACTTGCTACTTCGAGTAATCGGTATTTAAATACTGAATCGGTGATGATACAGTCGTCAATGCGATGATAATAATTTCGAATTATTATTTAACGTAAGAGACAACTCACCAGCTGGCACAATGTGGTAGACACAGGGTTCGAGCTGTGTACCCTGATCGTTGGTACCCCAACAGAGCAGAGTGCCATAATCCAACTCCGTCATAGGTGTGTAAGAGGCTGTGGAGCGCGTTCGTTCGCGGGTGACGTGTGCCTGTGGTATGTCGATCGCCTCCATTGTATTATTGAACTTCCACATAAACGTTACTTCCGGTGGATTTGCCTCCAGCTCGCATCGTATCCTCGCAGTTTCCTGTCGCGCTACGCCGAACACCTTCACCTGGCCTTGGTGACAGACCGGGGTGACTGGAAAAGAAATAAATCCGTCAATTCAATTTCTTCAACCCGAATCTTATATTCTCCCGTTCTTTAAACGTTTTGGGGTCCCAAAATTCACGCAACATTTTAATTTTGCGCCACTTGCACGGTCGTGTTGCCAACGAAAAAAGAAAGACAGCGTGACAGCTGACAGTTCAGAGTTATTAAGAATGGAGCGCTACACGAAGGAACAACGCGTCTTCGTTGTTGGGCTATATTTACAAATTTTAATTAAAAACCTGCGCTTTCTGTCAAAATTACATGTAGCGTGAATTTTGGGACACGAAAATTTCACTTAATATAAAGAGAGGGTGTTCTTTGTTATATTTTATCGATTAAGTACGTGGTATTAACAAAATGGCGAATGGTGTAAATCGCGTCAAAAGTTTTCGTCCTAATGAAGATCAAGCGTACAACAGCATTAAGCAAAAAGCACTCCATTTATCTTAATTGTTGGAATATTAAGTTTATCTAGAGACTTATGAATCCCTTTTCCAGAAATGTCCTGAATTTTGTTTCCATAATTAAAACGGGGGCGTGGAATATGGAATATTTCGAACGAAAAGGATTATCACGGATTATAATGGGATTATCACTGTCCAACAAATTTTAACTTCTTTCCTAATCTGTAATATTCATTAGCAGGAACTTAAAATTTGAATTCTAATATATCGAATCAAAATCCCTTGTAACACCTTTTTCATTTCATCCAAAAATCACGCCATTCTAGAAAAAATTCGCAATTCCCAAAAACTAAAGGCGACGAAGCAATTTCGATTACGGTTTCACTTTCAGGGAAGTAATCTCTACAAGAAGTACCCAATGGATATTACAGATTAAAATTCGCGTTGTACAGTGTTATTAGTGAGTTCCGGAAAAGCCAATGATCCGCATCGATGATTTTCTCGTCTCGAAATTTCCTTGGGGCTAGTAGCTGGCTTTGAACGTTGAAACGTAAGTTGAGCCTTTTCATCCACGACTTTGAAGATGAGTGATTGACTGCTATCTAATATTCGTACAGGACAAAGGTAACACGATTATGGAGCACTATCCGTGATTAAGCATTAATGACACAATCGATGTTCGTGCGTCATTCCCAAGTCCTTGTCAACCACAAGCCATGGGCAGTATCAGATTTCGTGGTAACATAATATATAGTATATACATATGCGTGCGTGTGTATACACATATATACATATAAAATACACATCCTATATGGAAGGATGAGAAGCTGTCTATCGTCGAAGGATAGTAATACCATTATGGTGTACTCCTTTACTGCTGGTACGAACCCAGGATACCCATAAGATGAGAAATATTACGAAGAAAATGCTAATTAATTTTCAACCTTTCTTATTTTACAATTACATACGGTATTGCTGTAATACCATATTTATTAAAATCAAAAACGATATTCTAAATTCGTCATTTCTTAAATGAAAATCCTTCAATACCTTCTCTGCTTCAGAATCGAATTTCCAAAATGCACACGTTTTACTTTCACCAGATCTGTACATCAAAAGGATCAATAGCAGAAGCAAATGACTCTTTCCATATACTCTATCTCCATCGTAATGCGAATGTAATTTAATCAATATTTTCACAATAAAACGTTTTATTTCTTGCACAATTTCATTCATTCGCAGAGACAGAAACCACCACAAGTATAGACAAAAATAGTAATTCGAATTCTTACTAAATTACGAGTTTCCACGGCTTCTCGAAGTCAAACTTAAATTCCTCTGTTCCCAACGCGATAACCGGGGAGCGGGTAAAAAAAGGGGGAAGGATATTATCATTAAGAAGTCTCTTCCAGCGACGACTGTTCCAAATCCAGAGGGTGGAACCAGTGACAAAAGTTTGTAACATCCGCGGGGGTGGAGAAAGAGCGGAGGTTACCGTAGGCGGGTGCCGGATATCGCGCAGAATTTCCTGAGTGATCTAATCAATGAAAGGTCAGCCCCTTTTCCACTCACGGTCCTTTTCCCATTCTCCTTCTGCTACCCCGGTGTACGATCTCTATGTACCTACACGTTCTTTTACTTTCCGCTTCTACGTACAAAGTATTATTGAATTTCTAGGCGAACCTAGAGGGAGACTTCCGTCCCGAAGTCGAGGTCGCATGGGATCTTTTGTCAGGTTACACCGGGTATCTCTTTTCCCTCGACATCGTTGTAGCTGAATGTCAATTGTAGAAACTGCAGGAAATAACGATCGACCTTCGATGTCTTTGAGGATTGGTCCAGAGGAGGATAATCCGGGACATGACATTTCTCCTATGAATTATCGTCCATCCGTGTTACTCGTGCCCTTTAAACGTTTGCTTCGCGATTCTTCTTCGGTGGTCGCGCGAAATATTTTCGGGATATAAATAAAATAATAAACGCATGCACAGTGTGCTATTTGAATTCTGTTAAAAATGCAGGATCCAAAGGCCTGCAGGTGGATTTTCTTATTTGTTCTCTTCCAGTAAAGTCTTGGCTGAGAAATTGATCGGTTCTCGTATTTAAGTCTAGTTCTGACTGTGATTTATGTTGGTCACCATAATGTTCTTGGTTGCGATATTTATCGACGTAGTATAGAACGAGGTATATTGGGAAGTGACAATACAGCACAGCTTAATACTTGATATTATTTACTGCAAGCTACCATGATTCGTGCTCAGTTCTGAAACGGTGGAATTGTCAGAAAAGTTAGGGTGTTTTATTCTGCGGTTGAAAGATCTATCGAAAGATATTCTCCCCAGAGAGAAACTTTTAGCATCTTCGTTCGAACGGTTTCTAAAATATTAAGTGGCAAAGTTAAAAGAGCTGAAATATCTTATCGTAGCTGGACGTTCGTGTCATAAATACCAGCAACGTGCTTCTTTTCCTAGAAGTGCATTCTCTGAATAATGCGTCTTAAATTTTCCCCAGCATCTAAGTTCAGAGAGTCACGTAAATAACGAATAAAAGATACAAGAATAACAGTAAGATCTCAGGGACGATTAACGAAATTATCCTCAATTTTAATAATTTCTTGAAACATATACTACACGCCATTTTGTGAGAACGTAAAAGGTAAGGGTAAGGTTCAATACGTAATTAATTACATTCCAATATTCTAAGTATTATAAATATTCGCAATTATGTCTGCAGCAAATTTTCCTGTTCATTTCAAACACATTTCCTCGTTTCCAAATCACGTTGATATCCCACGATCCAACGAACCCAGAGAACTGTCTATCCATCGATATTTCATGGCGCTAAGACGATAAAGGCGCATCCAGAAGAAGAAAGAATGGCGGAAAGCTCGTGACACGGTGTTCCGCGTATTTCGACAGATTTCTCAGCGCGTTATCGAGTTCCCAAGTTCACGATCCACAGAGACGTTCCGCCATTCGGCCTCGGCGTTTCGTGCCAGTCACCGGGTATTTTTCCTCGCTGATAACGGAGTTAACGTCGCCCGATCGCCGCCATATTGTCGTACACGCGTTTACGAATTCACGGCGACTACGCCGGAACTTCCTATCGATTGTCCCCGCCCGCGTCCGCTGACAATAACGAATTAATGTCCGTCCATTAAGCATTAATGACGCATCGCCTATGGGCCAGCTACGTGCCAAGTGTCTCTGCTAACTATCATGGCGATTTATGTTGTCCGAATGCATAATTCAGTCGTCGTTTTGGCACAACATTATTGCAAAGGGATGAACCAAGTCGTGCTCGAAATCATCGATGCTTCCGGCTCCGTCATACTTCTCTCCGACCGTGTTTTAGATCTTGGATATTTTCTCACGTTTCCCGATTCTTCTTGAATTTATCTCCCGAGATTCGCCACTCTTCGTACTTCGCATAAGGGTGAAGCTTTCTTGAAGAACCACTTTCTATTATTCTTATTATTATTCTTCAATTTTTCTCCCTTGACGCAACTTTATATCATTCTTCTAGGCCATCTAGCCTAGGTTTAGGTCTATTAATTTCAGATTAAGAAACACTCGTTACTCGTGTCTCGTATTTCGAGTTCATGGAACAAAATGGTAACAGCTGAATTTTGCAGCCAGTAATTAATAGAATTTAGAAATTTACGAAATAGAATGGAAGTATACAGGAAGAATTCTCAGGTATAATTTTCAACGTGCTTAAAATCAATGGATTAGAGTGTAGGATATGGTAATAAGGGAAAAGCACAGATTTTGCGAAGGAGCAGAAGGGACACTTCAATGCAATATTTATCGCAGAAGTGAGAGAATTTTTTAGAAGTCAAGAGTAATTGCGATGTTTGAGGAGAGAGGATTTTAGGAACGCTCGTGAACGTTCGAGTGTCCAAGTGGTTGCCGACACGTCTGTGTTTGTGTGTGTACGAAAGTGAGCGAGGGTGAGTTCTTTCAGAGGTGAGCAGTGCGTGGCAAGAGGAGTAGGGTGAGAGAGTTCAGAGAGAATTTTTTAGCGACTGTCTGAGGAACGATTTCAAGGTGAAAATTTGACGAATAAATTTCCTTGAAATTTATCTGAATTTCTTACACCGCTAATTTATTTTCGAAAATTAACTGGATACTCTTATTTAACGATTATCACGTAAGAATATTTTTCTATTTTTTTCCAAAATATTTGATCGACGCTCATTTCAAAAACTCGACATTATGGCTACTTGCGACGATTAAACTACGTAATTTCCTCGGTAAAGATCCACCGAATTGGACACTTAAGCGAATGTACGCGTCGCGTATATCGGAGAGGAAATGGGACAGAACAATTAACTTCCGCGTTATTCGAGGATGAACTGGAAATAAATTTTTCCAATTTCAACGAATTAAGAGAATGTACGAATATTTTAATCAGATATATTTTTCCGAAACGAAACAAAATTTGATAAAAATAACGAAATCATTATTACCGTAATATTCGTGTCATGTATGCCAAACATTCTCGAACAAATTACTCCTCATTCAAAATAAATGAAATGTAATGCGAATAAAACGAAACAAAATAAAATAAAATAACGAAAAG